AACAACGACATAGGCCAAGGGGTGTGGAAGGGGGGGGGGGGTACTCGCAAGTACACGTAATATATTTGGAAAACAAGTCGCTGTGTCGCAGGTGAAGCACCCCACCGGATGGATAAGCAGCGTGAGTCTGCATTTTGAGAATGGTCTGCAAGGCGAGTATCTGCAAGCACGCAGGGCTGGGCCGCCGCGTTGACTTGCAGCTCGCACAGCTGGGGTGGCCGCTGGGCCGGTCGGGACCACGTCGGGACTCGGCGGGGATGCAGCTGCAAAGTCCCTGTGCGAGATGAAATGCACGAGTAGTGCAGTGTGCGAAGGAGGAGGAGGAGGAGGCGGCGAAAGAGGCCGCAGAGAGGAAAGGAAGGAAGGGAAGGCATGGCGCTGAACCGGCGGTGCGGGCGCGGAGGGCGCGGCGGCATGGAGCGCGGTGCGGCCTGGCCAACACGCCGATGAATGGCTGGCTGCTCCCGCGGCTGCCGCGCTGCGTCGCGCTCGCGCTGCGCCGCGTCCCTTCCCTTCCCCTCCACTCCCCGCAGGCCCAGCAGGCTCAAAGTGCCAGCCAGCAGCGGGGCGCGGTGCGGCGGGCCAGCGCAGCGCGCAGCACCAGGACTTGCCGCCTTTGCCTCGCCGGTGCCGGGCCGCGGCGAGCCCAGCCGAGTGGCGCGCACCCCGGCCTGGCCGTGGCGAGCCGGCCCCGTCCCGGCCTTACGCTCTGGGCGGGATGCTTGCTGGCTGGCGGCGGTGCGGCGGCGGCGAGAGGAGGCTTCAGTAGTCAGGCAGCCGGCCCCTGGAGTGCGTCGTAGCGTCGTGCGTGCGTGTGTGTGTGAGAGGCTCGGCCGAGCGCTTGGCGCGCCAGCGGGAAGTGTCTACAAGTGTGTGTGTGGCGCGTTGCGGCGCAGTGCTGTGCGACGGGAACATGTCGGACGAGGCCATGGAGTCCTACGACGGGTACGTATTCCCCAGGGCTTGGCCTCAACGCGACGCCCAGGACCGGAAGACTAGTCAGCTGTTGCCAGTCACATGGCTGGCTGCGAGGTGCCGCCAGCCGCGCTCGGCTCGGCGCACCGGCCGGGAGGAGGCCGCCGCCCACCGCGCTGCCGGGCCGGGCCGCGCTCGGCCACGCCGGCCCAGGGTGTGGCGCGGGGGTGGGGCGGGGCGGGGCGCCCGGCGTGGAACGCCCAGCTTGTGCCTCTTGCGCTCTGCTCGTGTGATGTGAAGCGCTGCTCCACCCCGCCCAGCACTCTCCCGCCCTTCCTGTGCACCTCCCCCCCCCTCCCTTCCCTTTCCAGGCCCCCGCCCTACCGGCTGCGTCGTAGCGGAGGGGAGTGGTGACAAGTCGGTCTGGACAGGGACACGGGAACTCCATCTCCGGCGCTGAATTTTGCAGTTGGCTTGTATTTGATTCTGTGTGCCGGGAGCTTTGGCGCTGCCGGTGAATCAGCTGTGGGTGGTGGGGTGGGGCGGGGCGGTGACTCAGCCCAGCGCGCAGGGCGGGGCGCGGCGCCACTCTGAGTCACTACGACGGATATCTCGCGCCCGGGGCGCCGCCGCCGCACCGGACAGCTTCATGGGGCGCGATACGTGGAGTGTTGACAGGTGTCTGGCTGCGCGTCCCTGTCCGCATTTCTTCCTCCACGGGTGGGGCCCACCACACAGGCCAGGCTCGCCAGCCGGGTGTGGCGCACCTGATGTAAGCCGGCGACGCGTTTCGTCACCCCGTGTCGTCGCACTGCAGGGGCGCGGGCGCGGGGCCCGCGGGGGGGTGGGGCGGCCGCCGCGGCGCCTTCAGCTGACCCGGTGGCGGGGCGTGGCGCGGGCCGGGTAGGGCGACGTGGCCGCCAGCCGGCGCGGCCAGCGCAGCCCAGCACGGCCAGGCGGGCGTGTTATTTTTGGGCCGGGCCGCCGGGCCGCGCCGCGCTAACCGGCCTGACGTAAGCACTCGCCTGTAACCGAAACAGGTGGCGACGCCGCCGTACCGCGCGGCATCGGCTGGCGTGGCGCGGCGCGGCGTAGCCTCACACCGGGCGACGGCGTGGCGGCGCGGCGCGGTCCACACCGTCAGCTGATTTGCGTCGCGGTCCCGGCCCGTGGTGTCCCCCATTCTCTCGGCATGTCCTCTGTATTCCCCGCGCCGTGGGGCCCAGCCGGCTCGCGGATCGCGAGGCGCCGCGGGGTGGCGGGCTCGGCGGCGTGCAACTTGTGCAATGTCTGGTCGCGCGCCGCGCGCCCAAGCCCAACCAGCTGTTGGCAGATAGCGCGAGTTACTCCCCGCCCGCGACCGACGATATGGACGAGGAAAATTGGGACGGGGATCAAAGGCCACACTCGCTCGCCCGCCTGCTCTGGTTTGCTCTCGGCGAGCGGGGCGGCACAACCGCGGCATAAAAAAATAAATAAAATAAAAAATGATTTAGTCCGGCATTTGTATGGTATGGCGTGCGGGCAGTCGGCCCTATGGCCTTGTGGGCCGGCGACGACAGGTGAGCTGCGCGGCACTGTGAGCTGACGGCCTGCCAGGTGGCTGACCTGGTTCCTGCTGTTATCAGCTGCGTGCTGTTCTGCCTCGTCAGCTGACTGGCGCCGTGCAGGTGTGCCGAGGGCGGCGCCAGTGGACCTCGCGGCTCGACGCCGCGCCCCGCCACGCCGCATCTACAAACCAAATGCATACAGGTCCCCCCCTCGGGCCGGGTGGAAGAAAGTGCCGCGCGCCGGCTGACGGCGACAGGACAGCGAGGCAGGTGCGATTGCGGCAGGTGCGGGGGCAGCTGCACCGGCTCTGCAGGCCTGTAAGCGGATGCGGGCAGCAGCAGGGCGCGCAGAGCGACGCGGGCGGGGGCAGCTGTAAACAGGTGTGGAGAGCGTGGCGCAGCTGGAGGCAGCTGCCGGCCGGGGCTGGGTCCGCGCGGACACGTTTCCATGTAGGGGACGCGATCACTGCTGCAGAGAAAACTGTCGGACCTGCAACTTGTCCTGCGGGGAGGAGGAGGAGGGGTTGGGGGTTGCGCGAGGCAGGTGATGTTTAGCACTTGCACTCAATCGATGCAGGTAGTTACTTTTTCCTGCTGGCCCGCCGGCGTGCGGTTTCTCTCCGAGGTGTCCTGGCCGGGCTAGGCGGCCAGCCTGCTGTCCCTGCTGACCAACCACTCGACGGGGCGTGAGTCAGTGCGTATGGCGCCCGCGGTGAGTCAGTCCGGCGGGAGGTCCTGTTTCGATGGCGCACTTTGCTTTCGCGTGAGTCACGGGGCCGCTATGCTAGGCGAGCGCACCCCGCTGTCCTCCAGATGATCACTCGCTGCGCCCGGGGGCGCCTCCTAGAGAACAGCGGACGGGCCGGGGCGGGCCTCTCGCGCCAACACAAAACGCCCACCGCTTGGCGCGGGGCTTTTTGGCGCCAAGGAAGGAGGCGGCTTTGGCTGGCGTGGTGAACGGCCCGAGTCGGGCGGGCCACGCTACGCCGTAGAGTGTGTGTGTGTTTCGGCTGGGTGTATAATCAACTTATTCTGGAAGTGGCGGGCGGCCGTGCTCGGCCCGGGCGGCGGCTCTGTCGGGCCCAGCACCAGCCAGCCCGCCGGCGGTCATCCACGGCCCTGGGCGACGCGGCCCCGGCCCCGCACGACAGGTTGGTCGGCCCGGCAGGCCCGGGCGGTGTAGTACGGCCTTGTAACCTTGCCGCCCGCCCCCCTTCTCCCCGGTGTGCCCCCCCAGGGCCCCCCAGGGCCCGCCGGCCGCGGCGTCGTGGTAAACAAGCAGGAGCCCCAACAACAGAACCGCTCCACTCCGCTCCCTCACTCAGCCCCTTCGAGAAAACAAGACCGCTCCATTTGTGTGCGACGCTGCTGGGCCCGCCGCCGCGCAGCACACCGGGGCGGAGCGAAAGCTCCTGTCACCGCGCTGCCGTAGTCTTCGTAGTGTAGGACGGGCGCTTGGCTCGGGACCGAGCGATCGGACGCATGGGGCGGATGGCGGAGAAGTAAAACCGTTTGCGCTGAGCTGTGCGCGGCCCCGGCGCGCTCCCGCTCACTACGCCGGCCGCCTCGGCGCGTTCCACTATCGCGACGCTACGCCACGCCACGCCCGGCTTGGCGGCTGAATGGGCCGCGAGCCGCACTAGTCGTATGAATGAACGATGCCACCAGTTAGCCTCCTGTGTGTGTGAGAGAGCGGCGTGCCTGCGTACATGTGAGGGGGAAAGAGGGGGGGTGGGGGGGCAGCGAGGTGCGCTGCAACTCGCATACATACTCAGTGGCGGGTTTGTCTGGAGGTTGCGACCTTGTGCGTCTGAGCCTACCGCCTCCTCCTGAGCCCCGCGCAGCACCCCGTCCTCTCTTCTGAATCGTCGCGTAAACGACGTCGCGGGGACGTCTTCCTTGTTGCGCGCGGCGCCTGTCCGTTTTGCTTCTTTACCCGCATAGTATCTGCACCGCCACTTCCATTAGTTTGCAACCCGTCAGGTAATACATGGATGCGGCGTCAAGGATGCCCTCCCCGCGGGCGACTAGCACCGCACCGCACGGCGAGAGGCGATAAGCTGCACAAGTGTGCGCGCCTGCCTGCCGGCCGGTGGTGGTGGTGGTGCGTGTCCATACATTCGCGCGGGCTGGCGTCACGTGCTTACATAACGCCACTCCGCTCGACAGATGTCGCTTCCGGCTGAAGCGTACACAGTTAGCTCGCGCCGAGCGTTTACAGCCGGTGCAGCTGAGCGCGCGGCCGGGCCGCCCTGGCGGTGCGGGGCGTGGCCGCGCGGGCCCCGCGGGGGGTTGAACGCCCGCCCGGCCGCCCGGGCCCGGGCAGGCGGCTACACCACCATCACTCTCTCGAGGGGGTGGCCGGCGTGCACCCCGCGCGCCGCTGCTCGGCGAGTAGCTCCCGTGCGGTTCAAACTTGACCTCGACCCGCTTTGGCCGCGCGGCACGGCAGCCGCCTGAGTGTGCGCGCGCGTCATGTGCGCCGGCGGGCGTGTCGTGCCCGCGGCCCCGGCGGGGTTGGGGTTGCGTGTCGGCGGGAGCCTCGCCGCCGCCGTGGCCCGGCCCCGCCGCGCCGCGCCACGGCCCTTGTGGGACACCACACCGCCGCCGTGGAGACGCCCCGCGGCCCCGCGGCTGGGCCGGGTGGGTCGATGGAGTGCGTATGTTTAATGGAGCGGGTGAATCTGTGACGACCGCCTGAGGTAACCCGGTGCTGCTCGCTGGCTGGTAATGCCGCTCGTTATGTAGCGTCCGACCTTGTTTTGTTTTTTCCCTCGCGCATTGGCGGCGGCGGCCCGGCGCGGCGCCGTGTACTGTACGGGGGGGCCACCTGTAATCAGCGGGACCGTTTTGTTTCCTCTTCCTCCTGCTCCCCGCCGTGACCCCCCTGCGCCGAGGAGGAGGGGTAAGACGGCCGCGGTTGTCCCTGCTGCCGCACCCACCAAGTGCAGCAGCTGAGGCAGCTGCAGCAGCATTAGTGCCGCGATTAGGCGTCGGCAGAGCCCGGGCGGGGCGGGGCCCCGCGTGATGCCGGGGTTGGCGGTGGTCATGGTTCGAGGCGTGGCCTGGCGCGGCGTGTGTGCTGCTGCTGCAGCAGCGGAGACGACGCGACGCAGTGTGCGACCTTGTTCCACTTGGGCCCTGGCTCCGCCTGGCTCCACCGCCACCGCCGCTGCCACTCGCGGGGGGCTTACGTGCCGCGACGTGCTGCTGCTGCCCAGGTAAAGACCGGCGCCGTCAGGCGTCGGCCTGCCTGCCTGCCTGGGCCGTGGGCGCGGCGCTATTTGTGGGACATGGGGCGGCGCCCGACCCGGCCTGGGCCCGCCGTCAGCTGACTACGCCGGCGGCGGCGCAGTGGCGCCAGCGGGGCCGCTGACAGCGCCGTAACTCCGCCGCCTCCGCGCGCCAGTTAGGCGGGGCCGCGGAGCGCGCGGCCGCGGCGCAGCGGGGCTCGTGGAACTGCGTCACTGCGGTCAGCTGATGCCCCCTCCGAGCGGTCGCCTAGGCCTAGGCGGGTCCCACCACCGCTATGGGGCCGCTGCATGGGATGGGACCCGCGCGCGGCCCGGTCGGAAAGTTTTTCGGGTCGGGGCGAGTCAGCTGTGAGGGAGCGAGTAAGAGAGGGGCTGCCTACGTGAAGGGCGGCACGCGGCACGCTCGCGGCCGAGGTAGGCAGGCGGCTGCACCACGTTTTCTTTCCTTGGAAGTTCAGTTACGCCTAGCCAGCGCAGCTGCGGGGTTTTCCCCACCTCGCGACCGGTGGGCGAGTAGGTGCTGAGCTGGCCGGAGCTGGTGGACGGGTTCGCGGTTCGCCCTCCTGGGGTCCCCCCGGTTGCACGCGCGGGTCGGGGGTCGGGGCCGTTCCCGCCGCGAGGCCCCCCCCACACCCACAACACACGGTTCTCTTTGCCTCCCCCGCGAGGTACGGCGATATGGCGTGGCCGTCACTGGCAACAAGTCGGCCGGGCTCGGCTTTCATTGAGTCGCCTGTCACATGTGTGAGTGAGTGGACGCCGCCGTGGCCGCGCAGATAGCGTGTCATGATAAGATAAGTCCCGGCCTGCGCCGTCAAGAGCATGTGGCGTCTGGCCCCAGCATTATCCCCCCGCTTATCGATTCATTCGGTCAGCAAGAAAGGAGGGCTCCGCGGCGAAGCCGGTGCTGCTGCGGGTGCGGCCGGCGCGCGCCGCGCCGCGTCGTGGGTGCTCGAGTGTGCGGAATGGCGGGCTCGACTCGGCGGGTCCGCCCGTCCTACGCCCAGCCCGCGCGCTGTGCCCGGGGTCAGCGCCTGCTCGTCTCGTCGTCTGGCCTCTCTGGCCTTGGAAACAAAAGCGCGTCCTGTAATTCGACGAGGAAATGACGGCGGCGGCAGACCGGCCGGCCGGCCTGCCTGCCCCGGTCTGGGTCTGAAATGGAAACGGGTGTGTCGGGCGGGTTGATCAGAGGAGGGAAGGGAGGGCCGTGCGGAAGGCCGTGTAAACGCCAGTCAGCGACACGACACCCCGTCCAGCCCACCCCCTTCTTGTCCCTCATTATCGCCCCTCGGAGGTACTACGAACTAGCGGCGCCGACCAGCTCCGAGAATGATGACCGAGCGACAACGAGAACGTGTGATGGGGCCTTCCCCCTTGGGCTGCCTCTCCCTCTCCCTCCTCCCCCGCCCCCCTTTCCCCCCTCAATAACCGGCCGGTCACGGGCCAGTAGTCATGGGACTGCCATGGGCCGTGCCGAAGGCCGCGTTGGCCGTGGGGCTTACTCTCGGTGACGCGGGGGCGATGACTCACCTGTGATGGTGTCGTGCCTGGCCACCATTCATGTAGAAATTTACATCAATAAACATGTTCTGGCTTTTATGGACTTTATGGATTTATGGCCTAGCGCTCAAAAAAATAATCAAAATGTGAAACTTGTCAAAATTTTCCCACATTAATGTAGTAGGTGGCTGATGATTAACCCCCCGCACTTCTGCAGTTATACTTTACCGCACGCAGGGGAGCAGGGAGCAGGCGAATTTGCCTGTCGCCCCTGACCATACCATGGCGCCTTACGGGCCGAGCGAGTAGGCAACACGCCTGCACGTGTGAATGCTTGCTGCATAACTGCGCGGGGCTCACCAGCCTCGCGTATCTGAACTGTGGAGAAAAGTTTCCTGTATAGCCCCAAGCCCCAGTGTAACCCAAAGACCTTGAGAGCAAGATGATTGTGATTGTGACATAAATGTGACTGACGTTTTTTTTTTCCTGTTTTCATTTCGCCAGGCTGAGCGACCGCGCGGGGTCGGACCAGGAGAAGCGCATGCGGCGCGAGATCGCCAACTCCAATGAGCGGCGCCGCATGCAGAGCATCAACGCGGGCTTCCAGTCGCTGCGCACGCTGCTGCCCCACCACGAGGGCGAGAAGCTGAGCAAGGTGAGTGGGCGCGTGCGGTTTGTGACGAGTCAATTCAGTGGGAAGAGGCAGTCGTCGTTGTTGTTGTTGTTGTAGCACATGTAGTTTGTGGTGGTTGGTGGTCGACGCGGACGTGGCAGACGTGCGTCGGAGACGTGTGCTCGAGGCTCGCGGCCCCGAGTGGAAAATGACTTGATTTGCACCACCGGGGTCGCTATGTGTATGCGTGAGAGAGAGAGAGAGAGAGAGAGTGAGGGGCGCGCGGATATAACTGCTTGCAAGCCCGCGGCCCCTCTGTAGGGGGGACGTGTGTCCCCGTTCGCTGTTTTTCACGTCCTTTTATTTCTGCTCGTCCTGAACCTTGGCGCGAATGCTGCGTCTCCTCCTTTCCCATCGTGCGGTGTGTGTGTGTGTGTGTGCGGGACGCCGGTGGCGGCTGCGGCTGTGCGGGAGCAGAGAAAGAGAGCAGCAAAGGGGGAGAGAGAGAGAGAGTAATCGCGGCAAGAGAACGAATGGAGCCTTGCCTCTGCGGTGCGGTTTGTTATTGTTTTTCTCCGCGTGCAACGCGCCTGCCGAGTTGTTGTCTAGGTCAGCTTGGCTGTGTCTAGGAGCTGCGCCGGCCGGCCCGGCCGGGCCGGGTGGGGGAGATTGACTTAGGTCCGGGACGCGGGCCGCAGCGCGGCGTGGCGCGGCGTGGCGTAACAGGGGCAGGGCCCCGGGTGCGACCCCCTGCCCTGCCCCCCTCCCGCCCCTCCCCCTCCCCGCGTGGCGTGGCACCTTGCACTTTGGCACCGCACTGGCCCCTGGCCCCGGCCCGCGGCCCCCGCGCCTGCTGGCGACCGCCCCCGCCCTTGCTGCACGATAGGCCACCAACACCCACCACCGGCGCCGGTCTGCGGGCATTTTGGACTTTATTCCAAAAAAATTCAGCCACAAGACATGTTACTGTGATATGCCTCGCCCGCCTTGTACCAGCGCAACGTTAAAATGTAAACGGCCGTGTTTTTCGAGCGGGGGGTTGGCGCCCTTGAGGTCAGCGTGGGTCGCGGTGGCCTGGCCCACATAGATATCGGGCGGCGGGAGCGGGGGATCACGGGGGGGGGGGGCATGCAAGCCGCGCCGCCGTACCGACTGCGTCCTTGCCTCTTTATTTGGCTTCTCCCTCCCCTCCCTCCGTGCGGTCTCAACTCCTCGATTTTTCGACTGTTTGTTTGTCTCTCGCTTCATATTCGTTTTGCAGAATAAAACGAGCGAGGCGGGCGACCGGGCTGGGCTCTGGCCCGGCTGGGCGGCGAGCCCATGCCGGCCTGGCGGGTCATCCATTTCAAGTTTCCAGGTCAGGACTGGCGGGGGGCAATGGCTGGGGCGGGACTGAGCCGTGCCGGCTACATTGTAACGACACGGCTCGCCCGCGCACGGCACATTCGCTAAACTTTATGGCCGACAGAATGGCGTTACGCCCCGACACGCCCTCGTACTCGTAAGGCAACGTTGGCGTCGATGCGTTCGCAAAAGCCGCAGGATGGTGGGAGGGGGAAGCAGACGACGAGGAAGTGGGCGGGCGGGACGCTTAGCAGCGGGGAGAGAGGCCTGTTTTTATTTATTTTTTTATTTTTTGAAGTGAGCTGCAGCAGGGAAAGGAGGAGGTTCCGCCCCTCCCTTCTCCTTCTCTTCCTCCCCCGGGCCCCTGGGGGCCCCACCCGGCACATTGGCGAGGCTCTCTGCTGCGGCTGGCAGCTCAACCCGGCCGGCTCGGCTCGCCCCGGCCCCGTCCCGTCCGGCGCGCCCGGTTAGTTCTGCAGTCTGCTGGCCTTGCTTTCTGTCTGGCCCCTGCCGCCCCCTTCCTGCCCGCGCCCCTCCCCCGCGTCCCGCCGCGCCCGCCGCGCCCGCCGCGCCTCGGTCAGTGGCTGCGGGGCGGTGCCGGCCGGGGCCGGGGCCCCACTGCACTGCCGGCCCAAGGCTTCACTTAGGCCCCGGTCGTGTGGTCCGCCCACCGACTCGACTTCCGCCGCAGTCGACCGTTGGTCGCGACGACACGACTTCGGTCTCGACACGCACACACGCACGCACACAAGGATCTCGCTTAAACGCCGTCGTCGCCTCGACGACGGCGCCTTCCTCGTGTCGAGCGGTGTGACGCTCGATGAACCACACGACTTTGAATGCCTCAAGGATTCTCACGGCACGCTCGCAACAGCCGGCTTCACCTCCCCGCGCGTTTTGCGCCATTTTGTATGCATTCTCTCGCCCTGGGGGCCCTGCGCGGCGGCGCTTTTGGCAGGCAGGGCGCGGCCGGCGGGGCCCGGTCGCTGCCGGGGCGCCCCCTTCCCCCTGACCCCCTGCGAGCCTCCCGCCCGCGCCCCTCTCACCCACGCCCAGACAATTGCGGCCCGCACCCCGCCTCACTGCCCCGGCCCCGCCCCGTCCCGCCGCGGTGCGCGTCGCCTCGACGCGAGACCTAGGGCGTGGCGGCCGCCCGGGCGTCTCGCCTGCTCTCCTCTCCCGGCCTCACCCTTTGGGCCGGCGAGGGGGGAGAGAGAGGGAGGGTGCGGGGGCTTTAATAGAGCGCAGAGGAGAGCGGATTGAATCATCGCGGAGGGGACGGCGGCGGCCCGGGCGCCCGGGGAACGGCCCCAATCAGTCGGACGTCTGCCCGGGCCGGGCGGCGGGGCGGGGCGGGGCGCGGGCGGCAGGATCTGCTCAAGTGAGGTTGGGCTATCCGTCCCGCCGTCACGTCCGGCCCGCGGCCGCGCAGCCCTTTGAAAGCGCTGTCTGCTGCCCCCCCCCCCCCGCTTGGCATGCTGCTCGCGGGCGCGCGACGGGAAGGGAAGGGACTGGCGGAACGACATGTGCGAACATGGCGGCGTGCTCCTCGCTCCCACGTTGTGGCCCGGCCGCTGCTTGCTCCGCCGTATGCCGCGCCACGCTACGCCAGACATCGTGCATCGCTTGCATAATGAACAGGCCTACGTTTGCTTAAATCATCTCGAGTTTATGACCCCTCCCGGCCGGCCCGGCCGTCTGGTGCTCGTGGGACTGGGAGCGGGCAGAGCCTCGGCGGAGAGCAGCGCGCGGCTGCAGCGGCGTCGGCGGCGTCGTCCTAGGGCACAGCGGGGAAGGGCGTGGCCGCTCGGCGTGGCGCTGGCGTCGCGACCCGCCATGGCGCGCCAGCAGCTCGCCAGTGGGGTGGGTAGGGGCCGCAAGGGCGTGGCACCGGCTGCACCCCCGCGGGGCCCCCGCCCCCTTCTGCATGAGGTTGCAGAGGTCGTCGCCACCAGAGCAGCCCAGCCAGCCCAGCCCCCGGGCAGGGTGGGGGTGGGGGGGCCGGGGCCGCACTGCGCCAAGCGACGGGCCCAGCATCCGCCCCGGCTGCAGCGCCCCCGCTATCCCAGGGGAGCCCCCCGCGCGCGCCCCGAGGACCACCAAGGGTGGGACCGGGCAGGGCCGCTCACCGCACCGCCTAGGCGTGGTGCGCCACCGCCTCGCCGAGTCATATTGATTCCGTGTTGATTTAGCATATTGTGCGGGCTGGCCGGGCCGGGCCGTGGCGAAGGGTCGGCCGGGCTGGGCGGCGCCGGGCGCTGCCGGGCGCGGTGCGGCGGGGCGGGCGCGGCGGCGGGGCGGCAGCGCGGCAGCGCGGCGTAGTAGTGTAGCGTCGCCACGGCAACCATCGACCCGAGCCCCCGCCACCCCCGAGCCGCCGCCTCCAGCCCCGCTGGTCGGGGCATTAATGACTTTTCGCGGGAAAAGCGCCGCCGCTGCCGCCGCTGCCCGGGGCCGCCGCCCGCGCTGCTGCGGCGGTGGGTCCGGGCTCGGGGCGACGCGGGGGTGGTGGCGGGTGAATGGGGGCGAAGGGCTGGAGGCCCGGGCGGGGGGAGTCAGCTGAGGGAGGAGGCTGCGATCGATCCACGGCGCCCCGCCTCCCCGCCCCGCGCCCTGCCCAACGTTCCCCGAGGTCGCTGACTGGCCGTACAACGCCGCTGCGCGAGACGCTGCGCCACCACGCCGGCCACGCCCACGGCCAGCTCTGGGCTGCTCGAGCTGCGCCGGGGCGTGGGCAGAAAGTGCTGCTCCCGGGAGCGACTGAGCCCGTCCTGAGACCCCTCTCTCTCTCCCGCCCACACGGAGGCCCAAGTGGAGCAGAGTGTGCTGGCCGCCCGGTATTGGCCCCCGTAATCCAGCTGGGTGCGTGGGCGACGCAGCCAAGTGTCCGGTCTGGCCGGTCGGTCGGTATCGCTCCGTCTCCCCGTGGGTGTGCCGGGCTGGCCTGCGGGGGCGGCGGCCCGGGCCCGAGCGGTGGGTTAGGTCTGAACCAGAGCGGGGCTGGCGGGGGCGGGGTGGGGTCCGTGATGGGTCACTGAGAGGCAATAACCCCCCAGCCCGGGCCGCGAGCCTGCAGCTGCCACAGCTGCCGGCCTGCCCCGCCACAGCTGCTGGGCACTGCTGCCCCCCAGCTCGCGCAGGCGCCCGGCGATCGCCAGACTCCACGCAGGCGCCGGGCGCTCCCCTGGTCGGAGGCGCGCTCTTTGGTTGGCTGGGCGGCACCGGCCCCGCGCCCCGGCCCCGCGCCCCGTGGGTGGTGGGAGTGGGCGCGGTCGTTGGCGGGGCGTGGCACCGACCGACCGTAGGTAGGACCCCCGTGAACCTCGCCTCACCTCTGGTGTGGTGTGATCTGGAAATAGTCGGAAATGGCCGCTGGGTCGCGCGTTGCCGGTTCCCGGCGGCGGTACCCGAGCGGTACTCACCAGGCCGGCGGGCCCACAACTTTTCGATTCTGACTGGGCGGCCGCGTGGGGCCGGGCCGGGCCGGACGCCGCCGCCTCGACCACGTGCACGTGGTGAGATCAGGCCACGCGGCTGGGCGGGGCAGCCAGCCCGCCGCGCCCGTTCGCGCCGCCTCGTGGCCTGCATGCCCCTCCCCTTGTTCACCCTTTCCCTGCGATGTCATCCCATACCCTACAGAACGCTACGTTCGTGAAGACTACCGCAGAGTATTCCCCACATCGCGCCCCAACTACATA